ATGGAGCGAAACTACACCAGGTTAGATTCCACTCACCAATATATTTTAAAAATCGTCTAGCCGAGAGGTGTGTCTCACAAAACTTATTAATTACATTTTTTTCTCTTAAAAACATATTTATTTTTGATATAATTCTTTTAAGTCATTCATTAAATTTGTAAATACTTATTTTAATCAAAATTAACATTTCAATTTCACAATTTTCTCAACAAATTTTCTTAGCAAATTTTCTTAGCATCCAAACAGCATAATTTTCTTAGTATCAATCTAGATAATTTGCTTGGCATCCAAACAATTGAAATAGTACTTATTAACAATTTTCTCAGCATCCAAACACCAACATGGCAATTTCCTAGCCAAGCAAACAAGTCCAAACACCAAAATTGCACAATTTTCTAGCCAAGCAAACCAAAATCCCACCAACACGACTCCACTGCTTGTTTACTGCTTCAGCTTCTATTCGTTCTATCATCGACGATATTCTCTTTTCCGACATTAAAAAACATTGAAATTTTGAACCCATAGATCTAGGTTTCGAAACCCAGCAATTGGGGTTCGTTCGAGCCTAGTTGCTAGGTTCATCTGATCTGGGTTCGCGAGGAACCCAATGCTAGTTTCACGCATACTGGGTTTTAGCCTTTTAGGGGAGGAAGAGAAATGGTCACCGGAAAATGGAGGAATGGAGGTAGCGGCATGGGCAGGGGAGGAGTGCAAGGGGGGGTGGCCGCCCCCCTCAACTTTTAAAAGTTTTCAAAATTAATATACATATTTTTTTATCTTTTAAAATTTTTAAATTATATATATCATGTGAAAGTTTAAGAGATTATCATTTAATTCTCTATAATCGTTCATGCTTAATAACTTAAAACTAATACAATTTATAATACAAAAATGCTATAATTATAATGCCTTGTAGCCAGCCCAAGTTGAACATGTAGATGACAATCCAGTCTACTCAGAGGGTGAGAATGATCCAGTTGTTCTTCCCCTCTCGTCACCCTTCGTCGAGTGATCTTATGGCAATCCAATTTTCAAAGAAAGGGATGCAGACCACAGAGATGGATCTGTAGAGTCATGCAATGTGATTAGAAACTTGACTAAATGTTTTGAGATATCATGCAGAAAGCGAGCCCAAGATATTCAAAAAATTGTTCAGAGACAAGCATAATCTTCCAAACAGCAGGATGAGGTGATGAGATAATATATGGCTGAACTAAGATGGATTTTCGAAAAAGGCATTAGGGTGATGCGTGAAATTGGAGATGAGAGACGCAAAACACTACAAGCTGTTTCAGAACAACTAGTTGAGCAAGTGCAATAGCCCAGACCTAAGGTCCCTCATCCAGCCATGGAAATGCCTAGACAAATTCAAGAAGCCTCAATCCTAGCACTCGAGGGGCAAGGGAATCAGCCTCATCCCAATGTTCAACAGCATAATTTCTTCATTGGTGAAGGGCAAAGACAACATGAACCAATGGAGGCTGCTGCTCTTGTTGCAGACCATGGCCATCAACCTCAGCACAGGTATATTCCGCCAGCTAGGAGAGGAAATGTCGATCCTCACCATCAACCCCATCCAATCTATTTCTTCCAACCACAAGTTCCATTAGCCCAAACGTTACAATGTGGTCTACAGAATCAACCAGTTCAACTATTCGATGGAGATCAGCTAATAAATCTGGTACATGAGACCTATGGGCCAACCTTGAGGCCATTGGAAAAGATTGATAAAGGCATCCTAAAATTTTCAGACAAAGCGAAGGAAACCATGGGGGTAGACGATGATCCTTTTCCAACTATGTTTGTTGGTCTGAATGTTGCAGACTTGAGGAGTGTTGCCAAAAATCGTAGTCTACCTTATGCTTAAAGGAACCTTGTTATTGAAGACCTGAGGTGGGTTATTGAAGCGCAAAGATCCAAACATAACAAGAGCGTTAGGTCAGACCGGCAGAGGCTCGGGGAGTAAGGAAGGATCATTGTGACTAGGAATTTCAGTCCAGAAAGTACCAAATCTCACTCAGCTGGTACTAGATCTCCAAGGATGGTTAAACCACCACTCAGGTCACCTTTTAGACGATGGGAGAAAGTCAGTCATCCAAAGTTTCCAACTCAGAATCCCAGAACCTTGAGGCGCAGACCATAGCGCAAGAAGGCTAAAGAGCGAAAAAGGCAATAGAAGCAGGTGGAGGCTGAGGAAAGTTCATCTCGCAAACCACACCAACCTGCCAAAAGGAACATGGTATGGGTGAGAAAGAGAAAAAGGAAACTGCAACCCAGACTTTATTGGAGGGGGAAGACCAATCTCCAGCCTCTCCAAAGGTGGCATCTGTCATTGTGGGTTCAGATGGAGTGTTGAAAGCAACTTTTGAAGAACAGGAACAGTGTGGAAATCCTGGAGGTGGATCAAAAGAAGGTGGCACTATTCATTTTGGGCAAGTTTCAATGACTTTGTCATGTCTGGTATTGACGCTAGCCTTGGTTTTCCAAGCTAAAAGTGAGGAGGAACCAATTGTCTGTGAGTTCCTAGAACAGATAAAAGAAGAAGCAATTGTGGTTTCAGCCCAAGATGATGAAAAGGACTTGGCTGACAAAATAGTGTTTGAAAAACCAGAAGAAAAGATGGCTAGACACATTAGGCCACACTATATCAACACTCACATGGATAGGACTCCAATCAATCGTGTCTTGGTGGATAACGGAGCTGCAGTCAATGTCTTGCCAACTTGCATGCTTTATAAAATAGACAAGTCTCTTGATGATTTAGTGCATATCGATGTTACAATTTGTGATTTTACAGGAGGGGTGAATCGTTCAAGGGGCGTGCTGCCTGTTGAGTTAACAGTGGGAAATAGGACACTAATGTCTGTGTTTTTTGTGGTGGACACTGTTGCTACTTACAATGCACTTTTGGGGCGTGACTAGATCCATTCAAGTTGGTGTGTCCCTTCTACACTTCACCAGAAGCTGATTTTTTAGAATGGTGGCAAGGCTGAGGTGGTGCCTGCAAATGATAAGCCTTTTTCAACCAATACTCACCTGATGGAGGCTAGATATTATGAAAAAGACATTGGTACCATTCGATTTTTTGGGATGTATAGACATGGGAAGCTGATTGGGATAACAGCATGCAGCAGACCGTTAGTGTCTAAGCGTGTGATAGAGGAAGTTTGTGATGAACTTCTTCAGCCAACAGCAATAATCCCTTATAGGCCGAAAGGGAAACTAAAAATTGAAGAAATCTAATGAAGCAAGCTCGTTTGAGAAAAGAAAAAGAAAAGGTCGTGTTGGAGATAACAAAGAAATTAGCAGCCTACTTTGCTGAAAAAACATTATAGGTAGACAAGTCTAAAATTGTTCATGAAGGTGAGTAGGCAGACTTGGGTGATGAAATTGTTCTAAATATCTTGGGCCCACTCTTTGCATGATATCTCAAAATGTTTAGTCAAGTTTCTAATCACATTACATGACTTTGCAAATCCATCTCTATGGTCTGTATCCCTTTTTTTGAAAATTGGATTGCCATAAGATCGCTTAATGAAGGGTGACCAGAGGGCAGGAACAACTGGATCATTCTTACCCTCCGAGTAAACTGGACTGTCATCTGCATGTTCAACCTGGGCTAGCTGAACCTCTTTATCTCTGCTTTTTCTTGATGGCATGGCTCCAGACGCCTTTGGATGTATAAACGGAGGATCTGTGAACCTTAACTGATACACCCTACTAGTGGTCCCACTGGGTGTGCCAACAAAGGATTGTTTCCCCAAAAATCCTTAGCTGACCTTGACCACGTGAGTTTGGATGTTAGGCGTGCCACTTGCTTTGTCTAAAAACAACAAAATAGGATTTTCTAGATGACCCTTCTCCTTTCCAATGGTCGACCTCCAATAGGATGGCTAGAAAGAACGTCTATGAAATAAATTGCACCCTAGACGATGTTGCAAAACAGAGGGTGAAGTTCTACAAAATGGGTTACTAATTGCCTTGGAAACCTCCAAGGACTTTACAACCACAAAAGTGTAATAAAAGCTACAAATCCTAAAATTAACACAAAATCATCAGACAACTAATCTAACATGAGTTCAATAAAAGAAAACAACATGCCATAAAAATAAAACTCGCAGATAACAGAAAATGTAAAATCACAAACAACGATTTCCACTACGTAATCCATAACAATTAAACTAATTACTTGCAGATTTAAAATAAAAATAACTAGACTACTTGATAACTACAATTGAAGGAGAATCTATGAAATAATTAAAGTTTGGAAACTTGTAAAATTAAATTTGGAAATTGAAATTGAGTGAACTACAAGTTTGATAGTTACGCAAATATAAGGAAAAGAAGACAGAAAGCATTTAACATATTTACATGAACAAATAACATAGATGAATCCATAAGAGAAAGAGGAACTAACCAAATCAATGGGACAGACCCATTCTCAAGGCTGATCTTGTTCCAAATGCTTAAAAACTAACCTAAGTTGAAATTTTTGAGGAAAGATATGAACAAGAATGGAAAAAACCTAAACTAAAGCTATGAACAAGAACAGATTTTAAAAACTAATTTGGAAACTATGCTGAAATCTGGAAAAAGCAGTCTGAAAGTTGAAAAACATATGCTCTAGGCAGTGTGTAGGGCAGGCCGTCTGTAACTGATTTTTTCTTCTTGTTTTTATTTTCTTCGGTGCTAGGAAACCTCCTTCATGTTTCTCGGTCCTCTCCCACCATGATCGAGTAGTGGGGATTCCATGTTTGGTTGTTGACAGTTTTTATTCAATCTTGTCTCCAATAAAACCTTAAAGATAACCTCCTCCTAAAAACTCTCAACTTTCTAACTTAAATCAAACTCAAACACAAAAATTATTTTATCTTCTGCCACCTAAAATCCAGCTTCTCTAAAATTCCGTCTGGGCCCTTAAACTATAAGCTAGCCCAACCCAAATCCAACTTGCTGACTTTTCTTGATAATTGGGTTTTAACTTGACATGTGGCCTTCTCTCATTAGTCTATTTTTAGGTGTAAACACTTATCCACGTGAGCTAGAACCTAACATGGCAACATTTCATCACCACATCATTAAAAAAAAGGTTATTTGGAATCGAGTTAACCGGTAGGACATGTGGCAATTAATGGATGAAAGGACAGAAAAATGTATTGTTCAAAGTTAAGGGATGAAAAAACTGTGAAAAAAAAGAAATTTGTACAAAATTAAACGTTGGGAGACCAATTTTTGTCATTTAACCATAAAATTTTCCCGTTGCGCATTTGACCAAAACAAGTTTAGGTTGGAAAATCTGTGGGTTACAGTATGTCTCTCGATGGATACCTATCCTTCATGAACGCTCTCTACACCTATTCATGGTGGCAACTTAAATATTTTAATAAAATATAAAATAATATATTTTATATATTAAATTCATTATTTTATTAATGACTTGATTAAATTGGACATTATAAGTTGATTATCTTAATTACTTAAAGGCATATTATTTCATAATAATTATTTAAATTATTCCTACCATTAATCTACAAATAGGAGTTATGTGATCATGGTCTTATAAATAGGATATGTCATTTTTCTCAACCAGGCAAAGTTCTTTCACATTCTTTTATTTTTTTACTTTATTCTATCTTCTAAATATTCTCAAGTAAAGGAGGGTGTCATGAGTTAAGTGACTCTATGAGTAGTGTAGATTCATAAGATATTATTATAAAACTGTAACATCCTAAGGGTGACAAGCTATCTATACTTCTGTTGCACTAGTCGATCTACTATCCCCAGAGGAATAAATCACCTTAAAATAAGTAAATTTTTCATTCTTATTTTAATGATATTTTCTTATTGATATTTTTTGATAATTTTACTAATTATTATTATTATTTGATTTTGTAACTGAAACACAACAATGATATGATGTAAAGATGAAGTAGAATGTTCAAGGAACAACATCCTTGATGAATGCCCTCTTACTATCCTTACATTACATAGATTCACTACCTAATCCCCATTTATGTTAAATCAATCACTGTTGTGTTTTTTTATAATAAAAATTTATTGTAAATTTTATAACATTTAAAAGAAAAATAATAAATGAAACTAAAATTTAAGACTACTGACATGACATAAGTCATATCATTTAAAATATTAAAAGATAGATCATATATTATTTACTGATTGACTCTTTTTGTTTTTTTTTTTAACTTATAATATTATATGTATCAACTAATTTAATGATATAACATCATTTATCTTGAATTTTAGTCTTCCCTGCCCTTGCTGTATTTATAAAGGACACTAATATGAATATCTTATAATTCAATATGTTTCATAACATATTCATTAAAGATATAGACATATATATATAAAGCATTAGTGAACCAACTAAACCAGTTACATCTATATTGTATTTTAATAGTTAAATCAATTAACTATCAGCATGTGTGTGAAACTATAGGTTCAACTAGAGGGTGTTCAAATCATTTTTATTGATAAAATATTAAATGAATGAAAGAATGTATACTATACTATACATTCCATTCTAGACTAAAAAATTAATAAAAATTGTATCACATTATATTATAAAATTTTATTATTAACAAACA